GCAAATTTAGTTGAATTGGAATTTTAGTTCAAATTTAAGTTTAAAGTACAAGCTGAAAATGCCTTCTTGCTGAAATGAAAATTTTATTAAATTGAAATGTAAAATATTATTCATTTGTATAATGCCTATTAAAGATAGATGAATAACATCAATTAAAATAGGTGGACCAATGGCTATTAATCTACGTGGATAACATCTATTAACAAACGTCATCAACGTTTATTTTTCGATGATAAATATAATTGAATGAATTAATTTTAACGAATCATTTGAATGACACAAATATATTCCAATTTACAAAAATTGGTTAAAGTTTATAATTGTGATTTTTGATTAAATTAGAAGAAAAAATCAAAAATCAAAAATCAAAAATTTCAATTAAAATTCAATTTCTATCCAATAAATTATACCAATTAGAAAATTTTCCATTTGTTATGAATTCGAAATTTTCAATCTTTGTCAAGTTTATCTCTTTTTTTCTTTCACCAAAAAAAAATAACAGAAAGGAAGTTAGAGGGAAAAAAAAAAAAAAAGAAAATTTGACCCCTACAACTCTCTTCCACCATTTTATTTTTTTTCTTGTCCCATTGATTCATTTTTCTTTCTAAAATATAAGACTCTACCTCATTAACAATTCCCGAGATAACGAGAGCAAGAATGAGAAAATGAATGGACAAACATCTCTTAAATCACGAAATAGTCTTTTTCACTTGAGAGAATCTAAAGATAACAGAAATTTTTGAGAGTATATGGAAATTTAGTTAGAAAAAAATAAATAAATAAAGCTATTGCAAAAAGAGAGAAGCATTTTCTACATCAAAAACCAAACCATGTCCACTATCTATTAAATATCGTATTAATAGGAAGTAGTATAAGACTTTCATACCCTCTCTCTTTCTCTCACTCTCCCTCCCTCTCTTTCTCTTTTTTGTGTCCTTCCCGTATTGAATACACTTCTGCTAAATCTGAAATAAATGCTCATCCAAGCACACCAATCATAGCAATCAACCTTCTCCGAAAAAAAAAAAAAAAAGAAAAAAGACGAAATGAGATTGTATACCATAAAGAAAAATGCAATAAACCACTTTTCCAAATTGAATTTCATTCCCATTATTAAAGATACAAATTATTGATTAATAATGTTAAGGATATAAATTATTGATTGATGTTGTTAAAAACGCATATTTACTGTTTGATATTAAAAATTATTGATTGATATTATTAAAGATACGAGTTATTGATTGATACTCAGTCGTATGTTTGCCGCGTTAATTGAGGCATAAACAAGTTACACGTTGAGGTGTAGGACAAGTAAGTTACACGTTGAGGTGTAGGACAAGTAAGTTACACGTTTGTTGCATAATGCATAGTCCGAATTAAAGTTTACGCTATTTCTTAGCTTGGAAACCTTCATAAATGCTTCTTTTTTTTTTTCTAACTTCTATATTGTTATGTATTGTGAGTAAATAACAATTTTCATTAAATGTCGCAAACCGATTATGACGTAATGTCACCAAAAAGTGTAATGAAAATGACGCATAAAAATGTAAAAACCGCATAACTTACCACTACGTGTAATCAATTTTATTTCCTTCCATTTTTGTTTTTTCCTAATACAATTGACGGAAATGCACACATTCACACGTACACAAGCGTACGAACACGTACACACACCACACACACACACACATATACATGATCAACACGTAAAAAAAGAATGAGTTTACCTCTTCTATTTATATTTATTTTTTCGTATATATTTGATAGAAAAATATATGTGTACACCATTGTGCACACACACACACACACACATACACACACACACACACACATACACATATACACACACATATGATGATCAATCAAAAGGGATGAGTTAACTGATAACGATGATAACAATAAAACAAAATTTATGAATATAGGCCAATGATAAACAATATTCCCGTAATAATATATGTACGATTTAAGTAAAAGAATAGGTAAAGTAAGCGTAGAATACAAACATCATTAATGTAATCTATCAGATATTCAAAATCTCTAAACTTATTGATATTTCATTGTTAAAGAAATTTTCATCCAACACATACAAATGAAATGACAAAGCAAATAAAAAAAAACAAAAAAATGATAAATGATAAGAGAAAATTGTTATCATCTACTGCATTTATTGATTGAATTAAATAGGACGGATAATGGAATGTGATCAGGAATTTACTTTATTTAGTACTTCCGAGTTCTCTCAGATATCTT